CTCTTACTGTCACAACATTCTCTGGTAGGTTATTATTGTACAACAGTTCACAACTCTTACTGTAACAACATTCTCTGGTAGGTTATTATTGTACAACAGTTCACAACTCTTACTGTAACAACATTCTCTGGTAGGTTATTATTGTACAACAGTTCACAACTCTTACTGTAACAACATTCTCTGGCAGGTTATTATTGTACAACAGTTCACAACTCCAACTGTAACAACATTCTCTGGCAGGTTATTGCTGTACAACAGATCACAACTCCTACTGTAACAACATTCTCTGGCAAGTTATTACGGTACAACAGTTCACAATTCTTACTGTAACAACATTCGCTGGCAGGTTATTGCTGTACAACAGTTCACAACTCTTACAGTAACAACATTCTCTGGCAGGTTATTACGGTACAACAGATCACAACTCCTACTGTAACAACATTCTCTGGCAGGTTATTATTGTACAACAGTTCACAACTCTTACTGTCAAAACATTCTCTGGTAGGTTATTATTGTACATGATTCTAGCTCTTACTGTCTGAGAGAATTCTCTGGCAGGTTTTTACTGTACAACAGTTCACAACTCTAACTAAACAACGTTGTTCTCTGGCAGAGTTATTATTGTACAACAGTTCACAACTCTTACTGTCACAACGCATTCTCTTGTAAGAGTTATTATTGTACAACAGTTCACAACTCTTACTATAACAACATTCTCTGATGGTATTGTTGTACAACGAAGTTCACAACTCTTACTGTCACACTATTCTCTGGTAGGTTATTATTGTACAACAATTCTAGCTCCTACTATAACAACATTCTCTGGTAGGTTATTATTGTACAGCAGTTCTATCTTACTGTCACAACATTCTCCGGCAGGTTATTATTATTGTACAACAGTTCTTTCTCTTACTGTCACAACATTCTCCGGCAGGTTATTATTGTACAACAGTTCACTACTCTTACTGTCACAACATTCTCCGGCAGGTTATTGTTGTACACAGTTCACAACTCTTACTGTAACAACATTCTCTGGTAGGTTATTATTGTACAACAGTTCACAACTCTTACTGTCACAGAATTCTCTGGCTTGAGTTTTTACTGTACAACAGTTCACAACTCTTACTGTCAAAACATTCTCTGGTAGGTTATTATTGTACAACAGTTCACAACTCTTACTGTCACAGAATTCTCTGGCAGGTTATTATTGTACAACAGTTCACAACTCTTACTGTCAAAACATTCTCTGGCAGGTTATTATTGTACAACAGTTCACAACTCTTACTGTCACACTATTCTCTAGTAGGTCATTATTGTACAACAGTTCACAACTCTTACTGTCACAACATTTTCTGGTAGGTTATTATTGTACAACAGTTCACAACTCTTCCTGTAACAACATTCTCTGGTAGGTTATTATTGTACAACAGTTCACAACTCTTACTGTCACAACATTCTCTTGTAGGTTATTATTGTACAACAGTTCACAACTCTTACTATAACAACATTCTCTGGTAGGTTATTATTGTACAACAGTTCACAACTCTTACTGTCACACTATTCTCTGGTAGGTTATTATTGTACAACAATTCACAACTCCTACTATAACAACATTCTCTGGTAGGTTATTATTGTACAACAGTTCACAACTCTTACTGTCACAACATTCTCCGGCAGGTTATTATTGTACAACAGTTCACTACTCTTACTGTCACAACATTCTCTGGTAGGTTATTATTGTACAACAGTTCACAACTCTTACTGTCACAACATTCTCTGGTAGGTTATTATTGTACAACAGTTCACAACTCTTACTGTCACAACATTCTCTGGCAGGTTATTATTGTACAACAGTTCACAACTCTTACTGTCACAACATTCTCTGGTAGGTTATTATTGTACAACAGTTCACAACTCTTACTGTCACAACATTCTCTGGTAGGTTATTATTGTACAACAGTTCACAACTCTTACTATAACAACATTCTCTGGTAGGTTATTATTGTACAACAGTTCACAACTCTTACTGTCACAACATTCTCTGGCAGGTTATTATTGTACAACAGTTCACAACTCTTAATGTCACAACATTCTCTGGTAGGTTATTATTGTACAACAGTTCACAACTCTTACTATAACAACATTCTCTGGTAGGTTATTATTGTACAACAGTTCACAACTCTTACTGTCACAACATTCTCTGGTAGGTTTTTATTGTACATCAGTTCACAACTCTTACTGTCACAACATTCTCTGGTAGGTTATTATTGTACAACAGTTCACAACTCTTACTGTCACAACATTCTCTGGTAGGTTATTATTGTACAACAGTTCACAACTCTTACTGGTGAATGAGGCAAGGCCAGACCCCCTCTCCCACCTCCAGCACGTTTACACAAGTATCATCTCTCGTACCTATTAACCCTCATTAGGCCTATATCAGATCTAATTAGACCACTACACAGTATCCACATTAAAGACAATACAGTATGTATTATAATAATCAATAATGTAATATATTTTATACAAATAATTTATTTCTAATGAACTATAGTGACAAATTTTGCTTCGATTCATTTCTACTAATTATTGACCATCTGTGTTGCACTGGAGAAATGGATTGATGCTTATTTATATGCAAATAATCTCTGACATCCTGGTGACTTTCAATATCTTGTCTCTACAAGACAGAGAGAAAGCATGTGGCTACTGATGGCATATGCAAATGCTTTGGAACCATCCTTTTTGAAGAATTCACCCACTTCTACTGTTTTGTGGAACAAGGTCAAATGAATATGGGAAACATCAAAACTGCTCAGAATTTGTACAACACACTACTAAAACATGAATTAGCTTCAACCTTCCCCAAATGTTGCAATTACCTTGAAAATGTATTTACCACTCATAGTTACAAATTCCTTAGGAATCGATCATTTTCAAAGCTGGAATAAGTAAAAATGACTAACAGGTAAGTATGCTGAAGAAAAGACTTAATCATTTATCACTGATGTCGATTGAGCATGAACTACTGCAACAAGTGAATTTTCTGATGTGTTGGAGTCTTTTTTATTATTGAAAGATGGAATAATGAACATTTTATCTGTTGTGTTTGATGCAGGTTGTATGATATTAACTCAAATAATTTTTTAATAATGTGGATATGTGATTTACTTCCATTCATGAATGAAAGAAATTAATATTTACGGTAACTTGTAGTGGTTTCTCTGATTATTTACTAGTACATTTACAAAAAAATTTTAATTCTTATGGATAAATGTTTGAGTTTTATTAAGGAAATTGAGCTTGTAAAATGGAATCTTTAAAATATGGGGTCCTCAGTAAAATATCCCAGACCAGGGCCTCATGAAAGCTTAATCTGGCCCAGACAACAGAGGCATTATTTATAGCCAGGCAACTGCTACAGGAAAATGTCTAGAGGAAGAATAAATAGCTGTACTTTGCATATGTAGAGTAATGAAAAAGCTAGGGGTTTGAGTGGTTATGGCATTGTGTGAATGCTCAAGAACTGCTGTTCTCTGTGAGTAAATGGTGAGGAATTTGAGAAGAAAATAGGGGTTCACCAGGGATCTGTCTTGAGCTCCCTTCTGTTTTTAATGGTGCTAAAGACAGAATGGGACTTTAAGACTGGCTTACTCTGGAGTTGTTGTGTGACTTAGTGCTGAATGCTGGTAGCCAATAGTATTGAAGATACAACAGAAAAATTTAAGAAATAGAAGGAAAGAGTATATTCAAAGGGTTTGTGAGTGAATGTCGCTAAAATAAAATTATTTATTAGTGGCATGGGGGAAGGACCCGTGGTAGAAAGTGGAAAATAGCCAAGTACTGTCTGTAAGAAAGGTGTTGGCTGAAACTCAATAATGTACAGTAAGTGTAGAAGATGGATACACAAGAAATGCAATGGAGTGGATGGCAAATGCAGGATGTAATGATTTTAAGTGTTCTGTATGCACAGATAACCATGTGGCCTTCGCAAGGTTGGAGAAACTCAACATTGGGGAAATGTTCCTGGATTGTGTCGATGAGTTCTATTACCTGGGTGACATGATCATTGCTGGAGGAAGTATAAGGAGTTGCTGCCTTTATTGACGGCAAGAGGACCTTCCTTACACGTAAAAGGATAGATGTATGCAACTCGTGTGAGAATCATATTGTTATGTGGCAGCAAAACATGGGTGATTAAAAAAGAATGATTCAGGCTTGAGTGAGATGAAATGAAAATGGTGAGGTGGATGTGAAATGTGACACTGAAAACCAGGAAACACTGGTCAGTGCTAAGAGAGTGGCTTGATATTAAGAATACAGTATTGGTGAAGCTTTGCATAAAGGTGGGCTAAGATGGTCTAGGCATTTGGGGAGAATAGATGAAACCAACTTGGTCAAGAGATCTAATACAGTAATTTAAATGTGGAGGGAAAGAGACCCCAGGGTGGGCCAAGAACAACTTGGGAAGAGATTGTAAGAAATGATATTCAAGTTAAGAACCTGTCAAGAGAGGCTGCAAGAGACCTGATAACAGTGGCATGTATAAGTTTTTTGAAAAGGGGACGGGGGGTCTAAGACTTGAAGATAGGGACATTATTCCATCCAGTGGTGTAAGCAAGGGGCAATTGTAGTGAGCCCATACAGCTGGGAGACTTTTTGAAGCCATCTGCAATAAATACTGTAGTAGGACATAATTTATGGGCCAGAATTAATTTCTAAGTTCTTACGTCCTTGCAAACTGATTGTGTAGGATTGGAATAAGTTGAGGGCAGTAGCAAAAGGGGGTGTCATGGCCACATGCACCCCCCCATATATGCCACTGCCCTACATTATGGAAAGCTGCCATCAGGTAATGCAGGCAAACGTCAAAAATGGCTGTAAAATGTTGATGATAATGATGGCGATGATTATGTTTGTTGCTGAGAAGTGACTCTTGATGCAGGAAATGCCATAATAGAAGGGGATATATTATTATTATTATTATTTTTTTTTTACAGACTATTAGGAAGCCAGCAGCAAAAAGCAATAGAATCACGACTACAAGCTCAGTTAACTGCTACACAACAGATATTTAGGTCCCTTCGCCCAGTTACGTGTGATGTTGCCACTGCAGATAAAAATATTAGTGCATCCATACAGGGTAAGTCTGACTTGTTTTACTGTACATTTGTTGGACTACTTAGAAACTGTTTACCAAGTCCTGAACTAGAAAGAAATCATCCCACTGTACAGCAGATTCTTCATTGCATGTGAGTTAGCACTCTTGGGACCATACACCCATAAGTGCCGTATTTATTGAATGCAAATGAAAATTTTGCCTTTCCATCACTTTGTTACTTTTTACATTATAGTATAGTCTCGATTTACGCGGATTTGGTTTACGCGTTTGGTCATTTACGTGGCACCTTGCCAGACCGACAATTTTTATTTACACGGTTCATTCCATCATTTACGCGGGAAGCGGTGCAGGCAGGGTGCGCACAAGGTCCCCCAGTCGACAAAACATTACCGAGTTCTTCACCTGCTACCCACCACAGCCGGCCCAAGTCAGTGATAGTGAGGATATGGACTTTGAGGAGTTTGACAAATAGGCCCTGCAAGCCTCTGTGGTGATAGTGATACAGGTAATACAAGTGATACAGGTGAGGGCCAATAATCTGCCCTCTGCCTCGGAACCAACCCCCCATTCCCGTGTGCCCAGCCATCTTTACTACTATTGTAAGTGTTAAAAATCCTAATATTATTGATATTTCTCTTAATTATTAATTGTGTGCGCATACCATCATAAAATTAAGATGTTATTTTCACTACAATGTAGGTATTGTGTCGGAAAAATGTAGTTTGGGGGTTGGCCCAGTCTCTATTTCAATTCATCCCATATGTTCTGTTATTTCGTTTACTCGTTTCTCGTTTTACGCGGACCTCCACGGGTTCAATTGACCTCGTAAATGAAGACTATACTGTATACTTTTTTCTGATTATATTCTTGTCTTCCTTATGATTTACTCTTTCTTGCCATGTGCATTTTATACTGACTAATACGGTAAACCCTTGATAAGTCACCATTTGATATCTCAAAATTTCATATAATTTACCGGTAGCATGTACTGTATATGGTCTCGGAATTTTTTATAAAATAACTCATGAAATGACAAGTTATATAAAATTATCTGGGAAAATCTTGGCATATTTGGCCACATGGGAAACACTCACCTCTCTGCGCTTCACGCTTGGTCAGTCTGGTGTTTGTTGTTGTTGTGGTCTGATGCTGCTGGCTCACTCCACCCAGCACATGGATGTGGGAAGGGAGGGTGCTGTAGCACTCCAATAATTTGAGTATAAAGTACTATACATTGCACCACAGAGTATTTAGAGTACCAGAATTAATATTCAGCACTCCCAGGTAAAATTTGGTTCCCACGGTACTGACCCAGTAACACCCAACAACCTCCCCCTTTCATGTCAGGCCAGCCACTGTATGCAGAATGTCTTTGCTATTATGGTAAATCCTGTCATAGACTTTATTTAACTTACAGTGCAATTCATTTTATCCCAATTCCAACTGTCTGCATCTTCCAGGTATCCCAACTTTGTTCCCTTTGGTAAATATTCTAATTTAGTCTAACAATTATTTGCGTGTCTGACACCTGTAGTGCTATAACCAGTTTTTAAGCTAAAATTGCTGTGATAAACAATAAAATTTATATATAGCACATCATAAAATACAATAGCACATATTTTATGTACAAAAAATAGCTCCTCCCACACTCAAACTATCATCTAAGTGATGCCACAGTTCAGCCAGGCAGTCAACCAGCTGACGGAGATGTGTGCGTGTGTGTGCTGTGACATCACATTGGAGGGAGGGTGGCAGGTGAGTCAGGCACGCAGTACAGCTTACTGCCTTCATATACGCTTTATTCACACACACACACACCCACCCATGCTCTTTGTTTTTCTTATTTTTTAGTTTTATATATTTAAGTACTTTCTTTATTTGAAAGCCACATTTGAGTATTTTAATTTGTACTCTTTTGCTCTGTATTAAAGAAAACTTTGTTACTAGGGTGGGCTATAATATCCTTAGTTATATATGTTACATGTTTATTTACATACTCAGACTTGAATTATACGTAGGGAAAACAATTATTTTTGTTAAAATTAATTCTTTATTTTGTATACATAAGTGCCGAACTGTTTACTGTTTACGTAGCATTTCCCCTACCGTGCCTCTTGCCTACTGCAGTGCTGGTAAGTGTTACTTCTTAAAAAATATTAATTACCCTGTACAGTAGTACCCCGATTTACGCGGTCAATTGAACCCACAGGGTACCGCGGAAAGTGAAAACCGCGTAAAGTGAACAACAGAACATATGGGATTAATTCCAATAGAGATCTGGCCCGACCTCCAAACTCCACTTTTTCTGACACAATACCTATGTTATAGTAAAAATAACATCAAAATTTTATGATGGTATGCTCACACAATTAATATTTAAGAGAAATACAGTCGCCAGGTTAATGTCCATTCAAATAATGGACTCAAATCCCCCCCTCTTCCCAGCTCACTGGCCCCTACCTCTCTGAGAAATGATTGAGTGAAACACTAGATTTTAAGTTTAGAAATAAATAATACCCCAGACTAAAGTTAGGATAATATAATTGACATTTCTGGATTCCTTGCAGGTCAGGGAATATTTTGAATGTAAACTTCATATATTTTGCACAAAAGATAAAGTACTTGCTTTGTGTAATCCAAATTATTACATTAGATATAAAATTTGTATGTCTAATGCAAAATCCATGATGTTTATATTAAAAATGATCATCATATTGTAAGAATTCCAGCAATGTAAATTATATTCTGGTCCAGTAATTTGTATGAATTTTATGAGCAAAAACAAATATCTTCAGTTAATAAAAAAAAAAATATTCTTCACGACACTATCTGTCAATCAAAGTACCCCAACTTGCCTCCCCCCCTCTTCCAACCGCGCCAGATGGTCGGTCGGTCCCAACCCTCCCCCCACCCCCCACCTTCCTTCCCTACCAGAGAAATGTTGGGTGAAAGAACTAGACTTTAACTTTTAGTAATAAATAATACCTCAGACTAAAATTAGGATAATATAATTGACATTTTTGGATTCCTTGCAGGTCAGGGAATATTTTGAATGTAAACGTCATATATTTTGCACAAAAGATAACATATTTACTCAGAGTAAACAAAATACTTAGAGTAGATCTAAAATTTGTATGTCTAATGCAAAATCTATGATGTTTATATTCAAAATGATCATCAAATTGTAAGAATTCCAGCAATGTAAATTATATTCCGGTCGGGTAATTTGTATGAATTTTATGAGCTAAATAAAAAAATAATAATTATACTTCACGCGTATATGAGTAGATGCACCGCGGAAAGTGAAAGTCCGGTTCTGGCAAGGTACCGCGTAAATGAGAATCGCGGAAAGTGAAACCGTGTAAAGCGGGGTAATACTGTACATGTATATGGGCCGATAATTCTTTATTGTTGTATTTTTGTATGGAGGGGAGGAGTGCCTCGATAAGTAGGAATTTGGGATAATTCAGCAAGGCCAGAGCCCCAAACATGCCGAGTTATTAAAGTTTTAATGAACAATGATGTGGGTACAGCACGAAAAGAAATCAACAGTAAATTCTCACTTTTCACTTATACAAGCCAAAGTGGCTTTTATTTTTTTTTTTTTTATGGTTTTATGTGATTTCCCAACCTTTTTTATGTTGGAAGGAATCGTTATAATAAATGTGTGACAGTATCTTAGCCATGAATAGCACTCAGGAAAAAATTTCTTCTCCGCGATATCTGGTTTTTCTGGGGTTTCAAACAGAGTGAGTGACAGGCTCATTAAATAAATTTCAGGTGATCCCGAGAGTCTTACCTGCAACTTTTAGCCATTCCAGAACTAACCACAATTTTCCTGAATACTAACAACCCAGATTAAACTGCCCACAACATATACCTGTTTAATGCCTAAGGAATACAGCCAAGTTGAATGTAATCAATCATGTTAGACGAGATACATCTCTCTCATGAATGAATATCACATCTCAGGTTGAAAACTGTGCTACATTTGTACAACAGACACACTGAAAATTGTAGAATCAATATTCATTTAGAAACAAAAGAATTTCAAATTGGAATGAAGGAATAAAAAATTAAAAAAATAATAATAATGAAAAATTATAGCTATTAGGCCACTTACCAAAGTGTAACGAAAGAAAAAGTGGATGGTGACACTTGTTTCCAAAGAAACGTCTTCTCATAAGGGGAAGGTATGTCTAGTTTTTTGAGTAGCTGTTACCTGTTATCAGGGTTATTGTGGGTTATGACCTCTTGATTTAGCAGGCAAGATTACAAAGGTCCTCTGGTCTGGTCTCAATTATAAAAGGATATTTCAGGATCAATTCATCAATCCTGCCATTACAATTGATGTAAATATAATTTCTTCTTATTGGCAGACAAAAAATGAGTGTAGGTTGTGAGATTGTCAATTTGCTTTTTTATTTTTTGGCTCGGGTCTTTGAAGGTGATGAAACAAAATTCATTTGATTAAAGGAAAGTATGGTACATTATGTAATATGTAGCTAACGGTGTTCTATTGATCACATGTCTCTGGTTCAAGCAGAGTTAATAGGATGGTGTTTTGTATTAGTATGTGGTACTGTATTTGTGTGCTAGTCATTCTTTGGTTCCTTCGAATAGAAAATGACATCTCAGATAGTGGGTGATGAATTATATCTTACATTTTTTTTCTTTTCTTTTTTCTTTTTATTTTTTTATTTTATTTATTTATTTTTTTTTTTTCAGGGTACTTGGAGAGTCGGTCTTCTCTTGATATTTTAGATATTGAAAAATCATTGGATCACTTGTGCAGTTCTGTAAATATCAAAGACTGTCAGGTGGATCCAGGACAGTTGCAGAATCTTCAGCCGCTATTGCAGTTTTCAGCAGACCTCACACTTTTCATTCTGTTTATGCTAGCCCAGAATAGTAAGGTAAGGCTCTCAAGTCTTTTTCAAAATATTTTTTCCTATTATTAAATTACACAATAGACCCTCAATGTTCACAGGGGTTAGGTCCTCAAAAAATACCACAAATGCAACACAGAAAATATGGAAACCTTAGTTCACTAAAAAAAACAGGAATAGGTTTTTGGTATAACTGAACATAAAAGGAGACATAATAAGTGTTTTCGGAAAATGAGTACATTTAGTTCTCCTATAACGAGGTGGTTGCATTCCTGAAGAACATCACATTATAATAATCATTGATTCAATGTGAATTAGGTGGAGCAATCTGGCTGAAGCATGAAATTCATTAATATTGATTGATCAATATCAGTTTCCTGTCAGCAATTAAGGACACCAGATACATTATTACTACACCCATGAATCGGTTCTGCCTAATCCCTAATCCCTGATGTCTGGTTTTTCCCTTATATTCTTATCAATTTTCAAAATCGTACTTCTCCATAACTTCTCTAAATTATGTTGAAATTTATGTGGAATATAAGTAACTTACTCTTCTTGAACGTAACATTTAGATCATTTTGATTATCACTTTCTTATTGGGTGCATGAATTTCTTTCCTAACACCATTTTCTCCTCCAAATATTTATAAAGATAAATCTGTTAATAAAAAACCAAGCCAAATATAAAGAAAATCTATATGTTACACCATTCACAGTATGTTATTCTACTACGGTGATATCCCCGTTAGCCAGAACAATTGGTGCAGAGCACTTACAGGGATGAGAGATTTCCGAGTAACGAGACGACTTTCTCAAACCCGGAAAAATTCCTTATCCTCGGAACCTTTTCCGATTACTGGGAAAAGTTTCCAAGTGTTAAACTAGACTTCCTGTACAAACTGACACTAGCCCACTTCCCTAGAACGTTTCTGGGTGCTGGAGATGTTTTCCTTGAGTCTAAACTACTGGAGTTTGTATATACAGCTAGACCCCGACTTACGACTGCTTCGACTTACGACCGTCGGGAATTTCGACCGCCGCAGTTGTGACCATTTTTTTTTTTTTTTTTTCTTCAAATGACGCACGCATTTTCTATACCGAAACGTTTCCAGTTAATGTAGTCTCCATGTATAATTAGAAAATTATGGGGGCCCCATGTGCATTCAGCTGACTACATCAACCCTCACTTTACGCGGTCCCACATTCCGCGTTTCCACGTTTACGCGGTGCCCTGCCAGAACCCAGGATGCTCACATTCCGCAGTGGGTGTACCCCTTTACGAGGGTGAAGTATAATTTTTTTATTTAGCTCATAAAATTCATACAAATTATCCGGCCAGAATATAATTTACATTGCTGGAATTCTTACAATTTGATGATCATTTTGAATATAAACATCATAGATTTTGCATTAGACATACAAATTTTAGATATAATGTTTACTCTTGAGTAAATATGTTATCTTTTGTGCAAAATATATGACATTTATATTCAAAATATTCCTAGTCTTACAAGGAATCCAGCAATGTCAATTATATTATCCTAACTTTAGTCTGATTTATTATTTATTACTAAAAAGGTAAACAGTCTGGTATTCCCACACATTTATCTGGTAGGGAGGGTTGGTAGGGGGTGGGGGGAGGGAGGGACCGGCGACCGACCACCTGGCATGTGTGAAGAATATTTTTTTTTATTAACTGAAGATATTTGTTTTAGCTCATAAAATTCATACAAATTACCCTGCCAGAATATAATTTACATTGCTGGAATTCTTACAATTTGATGATCATTTTGAATATAAACATCATATATTTTGCATTGGACATAAAATTTTTAGATATAATGTTCACTCTGAGTAAATATGTTATCTTTTGTGCAAAATATATGACATTTGTATTCAAAATATTCCTGGTCTTACAAGGAATCCAGCAATGTCAATTATATTATCCTAACTTTAGTTTGAGGTATTATTTATTACTATACCTGGTTTTCCCCCAAAAATTTTTCAGAGGGAAGAGCCAGCGAGTGTAGTGTGAGAAGAGGGGGAGGGAGCCGAGTCCATTATTTGAATGGACATTAACTTGGCGACTGTATTTCTCTATTTCTCTTTAGTATTAATTGTGTGCATGTACCATCATAAAATTAAGATGTTATTTTTACTAGAACATAGGTATTGTGTTGGAAAAGTGGAGTTTGGGGGTCAGATGGTCTCTATTTCATTTAATCCCATATGTTATGTTATTCACTTTACGCGTTTCTCACTTTCTGCGGTACCCTGTGGGTTACATTAACCGCGTAAAGTGAGGGTTGACTGTACATTAAAGGTAAGTGCTCAGTCACACTGTATCCATTCCTCATTATTTATTACTTTCACTGTACTGTATCCATTCCTCATTATTTATTACTTTTACTGTACTGTATTTCATTGTAGATTTTTTATTAAAAAAAAAAAAATTCTTTTTTTTATATATATGTGGGACTTACGACCATTCGGACTTACGATCTGGATTTGGGTCCCTAACCCCGTCGTAAGTCGGGGTCTAGCTGTACAGTTCTAATTAAGTTAGAAACTTCTTTTTTTTTTTAATAATCCAGAAGTTTATCTAAAAGTTTGGTTGAATAAGTATATTTAAATATAAGACATCTACAGTATAGGATATGGGCATGAATGAATCTGTGTGTTACAGCAAAGACTTATTTTCCACTCCCATGAAGCTGTGGTGGTTTAGTGGGTCTCGTGTAACTGACCTGACCTGATGTAATGTCAGGTGGAGGTAGAATGGGGGATCAGTGTTCTCATATTACTGACCTGATGTAATGTCACGTCACCTTTTCTTTGGTGGAGGATTAGTGGGTCTCATGACCTGAAGATATCTTGAATAAACACAAAATCTAAAGTATTTTTAGAGATATTGTGGTAAGTTCAAATATAAGTATAAATGAGCAAAGTTGTATCCATTCAACATTATGTTACATAACATTTTAAAAAATGGAGCAAGAAAGCAGAAAGGTGTGGGTGATTAGAGAGATGGAGTAGAAATGAGTGTTGCCAAGGGCTCCTCAACAGCTGATATTTAACTCGCTACCATGCAGTCTTACACACACACGCAGATGTGTCATACAATAAGACCTTCTCTCCTTATGCTTGTTATCTTAATGGAAGAGTTGACAGTTCTGGGTAAACACAAGAAATACACTCTGCCACGTTCGTAGAGTGATACGGAACATATAATTTGTAATAAAAGTTTAAAGTCCTGCTATAATAGTAGAGATAAGTTTATTTCTCTAGAGACAGGGCCGCCATTTGCAATGACGTCACTAGTTTCAAACTCATCGCTGCAGTCGGAGGTAGTAGAAAGGACGGCCTCTTCAGACCCCAAATGCCACGTTCAGGTAAGTTTTAAGGGTGTTTTGTATGGTCTAAGTCATGGATATTTCGTAAGTGAAGAAATGTGCCGTGAAGAGCAGCTTCAAACATGGGTTGGATGGATATATGAGCGATAGGGGTTGGGTATAAATGGGATTGCCCAGTATGGGCCAATAGGCCAGCTGCAGTTTCCTCCATTCTTATGTTCTTTTGGACATAAAAAACTCCCATGTTCACACCAGTTCAGCTGTCATGTACTCTTACCTGGTACTTTCTTTCTTTTTTTCAGTTCATTTACAGAGTATATCAGTACTAGATGGAGATATAAGTAAATTTAGAAGTAATGACATTGTCTGGACTTTGTTTTGAGAATCCCTGGTGCTAGGTAAACATGACAACATAGTGCTGTTATTGTTTTGATGATTCACTGATGAACCACTGGGATATATCATCAATTATATTAATTAATGGGTAAATTTTTTACTTTAACTACCATGAGTATTTGGATGTTTAAATTCGAGATAGGCTATATTTGGTAAATTTTAAGTTTTGGTCATCCCTGTACTTAGACTATGTATTTGTTTTCTGATGGTTTGCGATGTGTTATGAACAATTTAGACCTTCATTTCTATCGGAAAAAACTAGTTTTCAGTTACAGGTTGACCATCAAAAATCCGGGAATCGATAAACCAGAACCTTCAGTTTTCCGGCATGGATTTCGGAGAGCATTTTCAAATATTTCTTTGTTTATTTAATGAAGATATATGTTTTAGCTCATAAAATTCATACAAATTACCCGGCCAGAATATAATTTACATTGCTGGAATTCTTACAATTTGATGATCATTTTGAATATAAACATCATAGATTTTGCATTAGACATACAAATTTTAGATATAATGTTTACTCTGAGTAAATATGTTATCTTTTGTGCAAACTATATGACATTTATATTCAAAATATTCCTGGTCTTACAAGGAATCCAGCAATGTCAATTATATTATCCTAACTTAAATGTTTAATTTCCTTTGTTTAAAGGACTGCACAGGTAGTCATTTTCTGTTAAACTTATACAGCAAATATAACCATCAGTTTTCCGGCATTTTCGAAAATCCGACACTCCTCAGGTCCTGAGGTTACCGGATTTTTTATAGTCAACCTGTACTACCCCCCCCCCCCCTTAACGATGTATGTTAAGCTAACCTTATTATTCATCATATCCTGACTTAACCTAACATATGATCTGTATTTTCTTATGCGATCGAAAAATGTTTTGCGACAGAAATTCTGTAGAGATAATGTGTTTTATTATTTAAAGTACTGAATCCCTTAGTTTAAATGTTAAGGTTCCCCAGATGACCCAAACCAAAATAATACCAATATTGTTTGGAATGTTTATGCTATGAAATTTGCTGTATGGGCAGCTAATATCAATTGAATTAGTTTGTGCTTAGTAATATTTATATATTCAAAATAGCATTACTGTGTTGCACATTAAAGCACAATTAATTATCTAATAATATTTATTTACAGAGCCGATTGGCCGAGAAGGTTGGACAACTACAGCTGGCTGCCTCCCGCTGGGAAGCTCGCCCCAACCAGTGATGTCATAACCAATCACAGAGCTTTTCGCAGTCACTTAACTTTTTAGCAACTTTA